TGTTGTATTTATAGGCATATAATCATCTAAGTAATAGATTTTAGCTACTAAGGAAGTGGGTTCACAGGATAGCTGGTTAAAAAGATCCTCATTTCTTGCATCTCTCTAAGTGCTTTAACCTGTAAAGCTATGAAAGTTACCATATATCCAGGCACAGCACTTCCCACAATTAGAAATGCTGTTAATCTGGTTTTTTGTTCACAATCAAAAAAAGCTTATAACTTTCCAAAAATAAAAACTGCAGCTATAATATAGCTTCCAGTTGTATGTTTTGTACATATTTGGGATTACCAAAAGCTGTCTTTTCATCACCATCTTTCCAATCCTTTTTCAAACCTAAAATATTAATTTGTTTAGTGCACTTCTACAGCACTTCATTTTCTGGAATGCAATAAGGCTGTGTGACTTTTCACTGGAGAGACCCTAATAAAAAGTAGCTACATAAAACAGATCATAGAAGGAATAGAAAAAATCCCATAAATATTATATTTATAATGCTTGTGAATGTCCCTTTCATGGGAATTTTAAATCTAAAACATCACTATATTACAGCAGTTCTGACTGTTTATAGCTAGTCATTTCAAGTAAAAATAATCAGTAAGAAAATACAGCTCTAAATATAGTCTATTAAATTCTTCCTGCTAGCATTCTATGACAGAAGAAAGATGTTGCTTTCTTTACAGTGTTAAACAACTGATTTTAAAAAAAGCAAGACAAAAGTCTCTTTTAACACAATATAATTATGCCTATTTTTTAGAAGACGCATAACTTAAGATTTTCTTTCAGTATTAAACTGAGATGAAAGGACTTAAGAACTTTCATAATTTTGATATTTTTCTTATCTCCAACTGTTTGGAAAACTTAGAACACAGTGAAGACATAAAGCTTTTGAAAATCCCATTCTGAAGTTTTGTAGGCTTATATTACATACAAAACTGCATACAAGAATTTTACCAAACCTGTAGCACAAATTCCTCACTTTCAAAATGAGGAAATGCCAGAATTTCTCTGTGTGTTTTTTTTTAATTTTTTTATGTTGTGTTTCTGATTCCCAATTTTTATATGCATATATAGCTTATAGCCTTTAATATCATGGTCACATACTTCATTTTCCTTCAGATCCCAAAATCGTCAGTGCCCAGAATAGCCAATGAACAACTAATCAATATTCCTTTTAATCTCTTTTATTCAATATTAAACTCAGACACCATTGATCTTTTGGGAATCATAAACAACAGTTTCACGTAAAGTTTGGAGAAAAGACTTGATTATAAAGCCTTGTGAATTTTCTCCTCTCTCCTTTTCCTTTCCCCTTTCTTTTCAGCTCTTGCCTGACATCAGACTCATCTCACCTCCTCTCAGGTCCTGTGTTTGTTCCACTCCAATGAACCTCAGCTGTCGTGTTACCAGAAGTGTGGTAGCACACATCTTCAAACACGAAAACAGAACTATGGCTCAGACTACAGACAGCTCCCTCAACCAGCTTGACCCTCAGCTGTCAGAGCAGTGTGCACACAGGGAAAGGGGTGGGAACATAAAGCTAAGCTGCTCCTGCCAGAGCAGGACTTGGGTAATCCAGAGTGAGACTGGATTAAGTTGCTGCTGAACTACACTGTGAGTGACACAGGAACTTGCCCTTCCATGGCATGGGACGGTGTCGTTAATCCATGCATAAAGAGAATGGAAACACACTCTTATGCTGAGAATAGTAGGCTCTACCTCTACCAAAACTTTGTAAATCTTGCTAAAATCTCTTTATCCTTCTGTCTGAACATTGACAGTGGCTGAATAATAGAAAAGAGGTAACATGAAACAATTTATTACAACTCATAAACAAATTTCCATAGGATTTTTGTTTTGGGAGGGTGTTGTTGTTGTTGTTTTGGGGTTTTTTTGCTTGTGGGGTGTTGGGTTTTGGGGTTTTTTTGTGTGCCTTTTTTTTTTTTTTTAACATTTATACAAGGCTTAAATGTGTTATAAAGTTCTTATGCATTCATTCCAGCGGTACAGTGCCCTCCATGGTAATATCCTTGGCTAAACACAAGCTCAGAGACCAGCACAAAAGAACAGAATGAATCTGCAAGGTGCTCTGTAACAACAGGTACCTTTAGCTGTTACCCAATGCTTAAGAATTACATACCATCTTTTTCAGGCTGTCTTAATAATGCTTCCTGTTCTTGCTTTGTATTATGCAGCTCTCTTAAACCTATATTACATTATATCCGCAGGAACATACACGCAGATGTTTGCTAAAAAAAAAGGAGTTTGTTCCAACTCCTACTAGCTAAAAAGCATAGGGTCCACTATGCACTGAGCAATACCAATAGGTAAACGGACATATACAGACTTCAGGAAAAGAAGTGTCATTAAACATGTATCAATGTGAATGTGTGAAAATACATAAATATGTGAATAGTTGTACTGTACAACCCACACTTCCCCACTAGATTCTGCAGAATAGCATAAAATAGTGCCCAGGTATCGAGATGATGAACAAGTGCTGAACTTATTTGTCAGTCAGCAGAGCTGTGGGAGGTAGGAATTAAAGGTGAATTTGAAACAGGAAGAACAAAGGAAAAGACAAATTCCATCTACAGACAGCATGGCATTGCTCTGCTGACCCAAGCAGAAAAGGGAACAAGTTGCAAATTACCAGAAAAGGAAGCCATGTTATATTGGCATTGATGGTCTTTCCACATCACACAGAGTTTAAAGTATGAATATACATCAGATTTAAATATTCATGCAACATGGTAATTTACACAAACATACACATGAACAGAAAAAATTCTACAACTACATGTATCACTAAGTAGAATACTCTGTAGATTCTCATATTAACACTTGCATATGTATATATGATACTTCCAAACATTTAAACATTTTTTTCTGTTTGCTTCTTTAAAACTCACAAAATATAATAAAATTCACTTTTAAAACTGCAGAGACAGCTGTGTGCTTAAGCAAGCCATTACTTGCTTGCTCATAATCATCTCTTCCGTCTGTTAGAATCACTGATGCATTAATTGCTTATCAAAACTTGAAACAGTTAATGAGTCATTTCAAAGATAAAATAAATAAATAATAATGAGCCAATTTCAATGGAATTCATGTCCTCTTCATATTAAAGCTGAAAAACTGTATTTATTACATGTCAGAATTGTCTTGATACCTAATAAATGGGAAAATATGAAATATACTAACTAATTAGATCACCATTTTTCAAGGGATCATTGCATCATAGTCTTATTTGGTCAAATTAAAGATCAAACAGAGAAAAGACTGGTCAATTAAAACAGAAATTAACTGAAAGAGATGTTTAGATCTGATGCAGCTTGAGTGAAAAATGAAGAATTTAGGGTAGAAATTTTGGAAGTTATTCTATATCAGACAATCTTAACAGAAGTAAACACATGATCTTCCAACAAACACATTGGTAACAAATAATGTTACATAAGAAATTTTAGCATTCTTTACATTGTATGAAGAAAGGGGAGAAGAGAGGTATAGAGTTTTCAGGAGTAACAAAAGCATTTTATTTTGGATCAATATGAAATTTTCATTAAGCCAAAACACTAGGAAGAGGGTTCTTCATCCATTTAATTTTTTTACTAAAATTCAGTGAAATACACTGTTTTGGAGTGTAAAAACTTTCATTTTGAAAACATGAGTGTGCTGAGAGACTTTTAAGTCTGGGTCTGTGACAGTTCACTGCTGAAAATCCAAGTCTAAAACTTTTCAAATTAAATTACCCAGGGTGAAATAGGAAACACAAATCCTTCCCTTGAGCCTTTACTTGCTTGTTCTAGCTTGTTCCTGAATATTATAGGCAAAAAAGATCCCACAGAAATCAAAGGAGCAACAGGGTATATCCCTGAAAGGCAACTGTAGCTCTGAAATAACTTGAATTAGACAGACATCAGTGAGCCACTTATAAGCCAAACTGTTAGTGAAAAACCTTTTCCAAAAAAAAAGACAGTTTTTCTCAAGAAGTTCAGCAGCAGGATATTACGGTTCATGTAGCTGGCTGGTATAAAGCAGTTAAAATGGGAAATTTACAGGCTGAGCAATTTTCCAGTTACTCAGTGACTAAGTAGGATGAAGAATCAGTTTTAATAGACTCTGAGTCTTAGTAAGAAATGAAAAATGCTTTATTTATTATACGAGGTCAAGTTGTTTACTGTCAGAGGTCCTGTCAGCTGCTTAGCAGAAGAAACTGCTTCAACCTTACGTACTGAGGCAGGCTAGGGCCTGCCTCCTAGAAGTATTACTGCACCTCAGCTGATGCCACACCACAGGGACACCCAGACACCCTCTTCAGACCAGTGTGCACCATGAAACTAAAGACATCTCCCCAAACCAAGTTATCCGATCCAGCATTTAACATAGAATATGTCACTATCAGTGAAGTCTGAATGTAAGAATACAGAGAAAAATACAATTACAAAATATAATATAGATTAAAAATAATACATTAAAAATTCAATTTTTGGTACTTACTTTACCTTCATAAATTAGCAGATATGCTAGGGTTTCTCCTAATGTGTAGGCAAGTAGTGTACACTTTCCCTAACAGTATCTTAAAATTCTTCATGTCATGCATTCACAGCTAACAGAGCTCTCACATAACTCACTTTTTCTCTCAAGTATATGCAAGGGAGGACTCAGTTTATGTTACAAATGAACTGTGCTACTTCCTCTGAAACCTAAATAATTATGGAAATAATATATGCAAAGTCACAGGTTCTCTAAGGCAGGCCAATAGTATCTAAAATAAGGATTGCTTAAATTTCTCATTATGTGCACACAGGATAGCAATGAAGTGATTAAAAATTTTTATGTTCACAAAAAACATTTTTTGTGCTCCTAAAAATTTCATTGTCAAATGAAGCTGAACTCAGATACAAATGTGTTCCTCACCATAAAAATGGCCAAACAAGTAAGAATTATCAGTCATACTTTTCCTGCTGTCACTGAGTGTATATAAACCATCTTCTTACCTGCTCAGATAACTCTGGTCCATGGATATGAGCCTGTACCAGAGCATCATTAACAAGCGAATGAAAGTTGAGAAGCACGTGCTCAATGTCGTGTGTTCCACTCATGGTGCTTGAGAGCTCCTCCAGAGACCGAACATATCCCCGCCAATGAAGATCAATTTCTGCTATGCTGGCTAAGCAGCCCCGGATGATGTTGAGGCAGTAGCCCATGCAGGGCTTGCTCAGCATCACTCCCTGGCAGTGGGGGCAATACTGCATTCTCAGGAAAGCTCTGCTGCAGTCTTTGGAGAAATGCAGGTGATCTGTTGTATTGATCACTTCAATCCCCAAATTCAGAGCCTGCAAGAAAGTCCGGCTGGATAAGAGTGATCTTCCCATTTGTCCTATGGCCTTTTGGGGAATGTTGCCAAAGGACCTGATGTCTCTTCTCGCCATTTGGAGGCACTCTGCATATTCCAGTGAAATGTCAGTCAGACCAGGGTTAATCACGTGGTTGTAGACTACTGGAAACAGAGTGTCAAAAAATCTATTGACAAATTTCTCTGTGCTAATGTCTGTGCCAAACATGAAGAGTCCAACATCAGTGAAAAACTCCTGAACACGCACAGTAGCCTCAGCAGCCATGTTTCTATATGCAGTGCAGAAAAGTGTGCTTGTGTAATTCTCAGCCAGTCTGATAAGCATTTCAAAGGTTTCTGTAATTAATAAATCAATCAATCAATCAATCAATCATTATTTTTAAGGTTTAAAAAATAAGAAATTAGAGTAATAAGAACTTAAAACAGTTACATTAGGACAACTTAAATTTATCCCAAATGAATTTTTGTATTAGAATTTTTGAAGAGACAAACTTCTCACAAATTATGACAACTGTCTTTTGCATATACGGAAACACTTTACAAATAATGTTTCAACACAATTAATAATCCATATGTTTTCTTTGCAGGTTATATTAAATACAGCCTAAAAAAAGGCATCTCCTTGGATGCAGCAGCCCAGAATAGCAAGGATAAAAATTTAAGTCAAACTGATTCTTGGTCTAGATGGCTTAAATAATAAAGTGTGAAGAATATTAAAGGTTTATATGAAAATAGTTATTTTTATAACTGTAAATTCAGTCCTTTACACAAATTTTACCAATGCTTTAGATGAAAATTGTTAGGTAATATTAGTAAAATAGTGATGTTTCAATAATCCCTATAGAATTACATTAATAAAGTTTTTATGACCCTTTTCTTTTTTTTTATTGCTACTTTTCCTAGATGAAAACATCTAAAATGTCTATCTCAATCCACAGCCACAGTATCCTATTACCAAGAGCACAAATAGTAGTTGAAAGAATAAACCCGTTGCACATGGATAATCAATGAATTTTACAATATAGTATAAACAATTACAAATCTTCAATATTGAACTACATTGCCAGTGCCTCAGCAAACCCCAGATGAATGAGTACAATAATCAACTGTATAATCAATTGACTATTTGTGCTTTTCTAAACAGGATATTATGATACTGACCTCTTGTGTTTACAATTCTGCATCATGTTGTTTAATTGTCATTTTAGGATTTCTTACAAAATTTGTTATTCAGATTTATTCTACTGTCACATTTTCTACTTTATAAACACCAAGGCTGTTCCAGAGATTTGTTTTGCTCTCAGACAGTCTGACAGACAGCAAAGCAGACCTATGTTTACTTTCAATACTGAACAGCGCCAATGAATACCTTACAAGGGCAATCCATGTCATTTATAACACATTCAGACACCTCAGTGACAAATCAAGTTATGCTGGTTCAATGCTGCAAGTGTATCATAGGCATGGCAATGTGTTTCTTTATCTTTTAAATCTATGGGCTCAGACTAACATAATCAGTCCTAATTATTCATCCACATAAAATAAGTGCTGAGTTTTCAATCAGTATAAATCTAATAGACATAAAATACATTTCAAATATAATCAAGATGAGTTATACAAGCTCTTTTTATTGTTATTAAATGATTTTTTTAATCTGCAGGCTCAGTGCCTCTTATCTCCATCCTTTATGAGATCGTCATATTAACCACTATACAATATCCTACAGAACTTTCTGCAGTACTACTGTCAATAATGTCTAGTATTTACCAGAGATGACATGTCAATTTTATTTTTCTTTGTCTACAATTAAAACTAATGTTTGTACATTCCTAAGTAAAAAATCAGGGTTTCCAATATCTTAACCCATTAATTTTTTGAAAGAACAGGTCTATTTATCTTCCTGATTTTGCTAAGAAGGAACAAAACTCAAGGCTAGGAAAAAATGTAGATGTACTTGTTTTATGTATTACATTTATTCACCTGATACTTCATATCAGTACATATATATACATTATTTTTTGATAATAGTGTATTTAACAAAGTGATCACAAAGTGATGCAAAATAACTATCAAGTCATTGCTTTAAAAGATTTGCTCTCTTCATATTCTTTAACCTTTCTGTTCCTGAGAGTCATAGGTAGTTCTAAACTGCAAAGATGTCCCAGTTTAGCCATCAGTCCAGTGGATTACTAACTTTAAAAGAAAACTCAAAAGTATACACATGCCCTGTTTACTAGAAAAATTCACAAAGAAAACAAAAAAGAAATATTGGTTTTTATTTCTGGACATTAATCAGATTTAATGGAAATTCCGCACAGAATGAAATAGAGTCTGGATTGGATTTAAACCCGTCCTGTGATTCTCATCTTTAATAGTTCTGGTAAAGTATCTTTCTACTACAGGTACCTTGGAAAATTAATTTTAAATAAATTTCTATGAAACCATGTTGTTCTAAAACAACTGCATTTTCTTAAGTTTACTCTTTTTTCACACAGATGAACGTACTATAGAAGCTGTTAAATAAGCAAATGCATGGTCTAAATTCTGAGCACTACCTTTTGAAACACATATAGTACTTAATGCAAAGATAATCTAATAAATTAAAAATCCAGTATTAGTAGTGGGCCAACAAGTTGTGAAGTCTTATAATTCAGCAGTAATTTATCAGCCCACATTAAATATTATAAATTAATTCACAGTTAGCCAGGGTAATATATAAAAATCAATAAATTAAAACCAGACAGGTTAAAATCCATCCTTGAATTATGGATATTGTATTTAGCAAGACTGCCTTTCACAGTCCAGAGGGGAATCAAAACTCATGAGCCTGGATTACCTTAACGATCAGCCCATAACATACAGGAATCCAGATAACCAAATCCAAGCAAAACCTGAAAAACCTAACAATAATATGAATTTATTTTGATTTGAAAAATCTTATGGGAAAGTATTAGCCTGTTGACAGCTGCCATTAATGTCTGGTGATTTCATAAGTTTTCCTTCTGTTTATGAGCAGCACAAATAACCCAGAAGCATCAAACTCCCTCTCCTAAAGACTTATACTCCAATCAAATGCATCTTGTATACATTGTCCTACTGGAGTCATGGGGAATGTCTCAGTTAAAGTATACAACCTAGCTAGCAAAAGGCATTAAAAAATTGTGAAAAAAGCTTGTGGAAAAGAAATTAATTCACACAGTATTACATTCATAATATCTTTGTTTAAAATACATCAAAAAGAGAAATATGTAGAGATGGCAAATTCAGTGTACCTATTCCTAACTACAAAGTAGTACACAGTACCAGATACACTACAAAATCCCTGAATCATTTACCATATCAGAAAAATGAGCTGGAAGAATAATGTTTTCAAGATATATAAATGGATTACTAAGAATGAACTCATTAGGGCATTGCCTGTGAAGGTTATTTGGGAGAGAGATAAAAAGGATAAGTGTGAGCAGAATAGATCTGAGACTCACTAAAACTGCTCCTCATTAACACATATTTCAATTAATCCATTTCATAGATTGTAGACTCACCACTGAAGTCAGTAAGAAAACAGGTGTAATAGATTAAATCTGTAGCACAGTCAACTTTGTGTAGTCAAATGCTAGTGATACACCTCAGGCTTTGCAGCCCAAAGTACTCATAACAGACTCCAGAATTTGTCATATCTTCTTTGATCTTGAATTTATTTTAGCTGTCTTTGAAAAAAACAGAAACATTTAAGAAACTTGAACAAGAATCAGTTGACCATTGTCTAAGTTGTCTGTGTTCCATGGCATATTACTCAGATATTCAAATATCAGGAATTTCTCACATATCCTGCGATTTTGGGTTTGGTTCAGTTATACTGTAATTTTTTTTTTTAGTTGTGGTTTGTGTTAGGGTTTGTATGGTCTTTTTAGCATCAGGACATGAGGAAGTCGGTATACGACAGCTTTATTTGGAATATTAATAGGAATTAGCAATCATACGTAATTTAGGCTATAAGCACTAGTTACACTAAAAAGAACTATTGCACTTTAAAAAGAAACAGCAAATTCTCTGAAATCCGTATGTAAGGTGTGCTCTCCTTTTTTCCCATAATGAAATTGTGAGGACTCATAAGAAACTCTTTCCCAAGTTAACCAATAAATAGAATCTAGAAAACATGTCCCAAAGCCAGATGAGATGAATTTTACACATTATTGTGCTACATCCTTTCCTGAGTCTGAACTGACAACGATACTTCTCATTCTTATTTTATAATCTACATAATATCATCATCAGTGTTAATCTCTGTTTAGTAATCCTGATACCAACTATTTTGTCATGTGGAATTTGCTTTCTAAATCAACAAATTCAGGTGTTTTTTTCTTTTCCTTCTTCATCTTGCTATCTATACATTCAAGAACAGGCCCTGCACTGCAAGAGGACTCAAGTTCAGCTGACCTGACACCATGATCTCTAAGACTTGTAATTTGCTTGGGGTTTTTTATGAAATGTTGGAATAAATTTATCTTTTATCCAGTTCTCTGGAGTTACATTAATTTTTATGACAATGGAAGTCACCACAATTGATTCACAACATTAGTTTTGAACTTTTCAGTGCAACTTACTGCTGTTGATTTTAAAATATCTAGCCTTACAATCTGCTATTTAACATACTCCTAAATAGTAACTGGAATGTAAAGTATTTAATCCCATCTTGATAGATTATATTTTAATATTGAATGACTTTTATATGAATGAAAGAATAAATGAATTATTACATTTATGAATATCATAAAGTTATTATTTTATCTAGTTATCATCAGTGATTCCACTTTTCTCCCCAAACTGTGCTTCTTTTCCTTTTTTTCAGTCTGTTGTTATCCTTTTAATAGTGCTGACTACAGAAATATTCATCTAGTCATTTTGGAAGAAACATGAGTAGATTGTTTTGTATGGTGCCAGGAGAAGAAATAACTAGCAATTAACAGAGTTCAACCAAACCATTTTTTATCTCTTGGATTTTGTTTATGTTCTTTCTGATTTTGCATTGTTCCGTGTATTTCACAGGCAATGCTTTCCCAGAGAAAAATATTTCTAAATTCTGAATATATTGCTTATTACCCTGGAATGAAATACACTTGGAGTTGCAAGTAGACCACTGAGGGGAATCAGAGCTTTAAAACTTCTTATAATGAAGTTGTTTGGAAAAATATTTTGAATTAAAATGTTGAGCATGGTTTGCCAAAAGGATTTAAATTGATACTCAGTTAAGATAACTATTTTTACACATTTGCCATAATAAAAAGGATGGCAAGTCATCTCAGATGTATGAAAAGGGTATTTTTTGAAAAAAGAAA